GCTTCACGAGCCGAGCCCAAGTAAAAATCGAGATGATGTCCAACTTTGGGTCGCACCGATCTGCAGAAGCGATTGCATCTGCAGATCGGTGCGACCCAGATCAGCGATAGGTGCCCAGAAACTGGCAAGAACCTAGCAATAACAATGCTGTATAATTTTGATCTTGTACGGTCTGTTCTTGTTGGGCGCTCATCGACTATGCGTTTACGACCCCCCCCCCCCGCCCTCCCCAGCGGCCAAGTACCCCCACCCACCCGATGGGTTTCGCACAGCGATGCTGTACCCTGCATACACATACCATGGTCAGGAGTATTGTCCAGCACCCTTTTACTAGCTTTCCACCAATAACATAAAAACTTCTGCTCCGCCTACTGGGCAACACACGCACTGCCTTTGATTTGCACTACTCAAAAATTTTCTTTTGTGAAGGCCTGAGCGGGGTCGGGACCTCACTTGTGTGATTGTACGACATATTTCATTAACATCCGTTTTTCAGCAGCCGTAGCATGCCTTAGCGTGCGCAGCCAAGCTGGTAAGTTATAGGTCCGAAAACTAGCTACATGTACTCTGTTTCGACCTCTACTTTTCTCACTGTTCTATCTTGTCCTCGTTTCGATTAAGTTTGGTCATTGCGGTGTGAATACTGGAGCATCAGCACAAGTTCTGTTCTGATCTCATTAAGAAGTTCGTGACAGCTCCAACAATTTTTTCAGGAATCCGTCATCTACAGTTCGTATAATAGGAATGAGCGCAACGTTGGATAACCTTGAAGAGGTTGGCCACTGGCTTAAAGCAAAGGTACGATTTTCGTGGTGTTATTAGTTGTATTTTTTTGATTCTAAGGTAATGAAAATAATGTTTCCAAATCCCCGTAACCAGTAGCCTCGCTGAGTACCACTTTGTGCTCCCAAGTCGAACTGCACCAAGAAGTCTAATGCCCGTTGCATCTATGTGGATGTCAAATGTTTTATCCTTGGCAATATCTCAGCAGCAAAATGTTAGGATGGGAACTTTAACTTTGATGTCTTTCTAAATGACGAACTATGTTATTCACCGCTATAGAAACATTTTTTATCTTGAAAATCTTGGAATTTTAGATTTTGCTACTCCATTCTTCAAAATTCGCTCACATTTTTGCCGGAACTTTTACTACCAGCTTGCGTAATCTTGGCAGAACCTTTTGCCTTGACGCATCGAGATCTATTCTTTCATCCGCTTTATTGCAAACCGCGGACGCGCGCGCCACTAGATGCCGCACGCCTACGAGTTCACTTTTGCAGCGCGGCGAGCCTATTCGCGCGCTGCTGCTGGCCTTTTTCGGGCGACTACGAATGCAACTATTCGTCGTTTGAAGAGTCCAAAGTATCTTATCGACGTGTTTTTCAGAAATCCTGTATGAGTGTTGCTTTGTTGGCGCTGGGGCCTACGGCGGCTGCGCCAGCCATTTCATGTCCAAGCATCTTTGTAGTCGTTTCGAAAAGTCAAACCACCCCTGGCAGAGGGACACTCAGCAGCTGGCCTAAACTTGAAGAAGCGGGGCAACAGTTGTGATAAACACTGACCAAAGTTTTTATTAAATGGTATTCACTTTTTAGGTGATTGCTACTACAGTTGTCGACCAGTCCGAGCTCTTCCACGAACGGATCTGCTGGCACGCTGGTCGGACTTTAGCCGATATGAATTCCGAAAGTCGTTCTATCCGAGAAGTTCCAAGAGGATTTTCGAATTCCTGCGACGCCTGAATTTTTTACGGGGCGCGTCCTTTCATCACCATAGTTTCAACTTTTTTTTCTTAATATCGCTGCATTCGTTTAGCAGCCGAATAGGAATCCTAATCGAAAGCTTGTTCTCGTATTCAGTTCATCAAAAGCGGACGTTGAAAAGGTAAAGGCAGTTCTGCTTTTGGAAAGTGTACAAATTCCTCATTCTAGCCTTGCTGGAATACTTCCAATTCTCATCCTAATTCCCGCGATCGAATGCGATTGTTTGCAGGTGGCTCTGGATTTGGCAAAAATCTTGGATGAAATCTATCGCTCGAATCAGGTGATTGCTGCTCGTCTAGATCGAGTTGCCCTTTATCGAATCAGAGTCAGTCTGGAGCAATGTGCTGGTGCTGTTGATGCCGTTCTAGCGCAGACCCTTCCGAGAGGAGTTGCGTTTCATCACGCAGGTCTCTTCTTTTCATCAATACTTAAACCAATACTTACCATGTCGCCATGTCGTGTAAAGGAGGAACGCAGATCAGCACGTGCGCGGTTGCGGCGCGTATTCATGTAGAAAGTGGCGGTAGTGATTGTTTTGGGGAATGCGAATTAAAGAAAAAATATTAAGGAAACTTCAGTGTCCTTCTCACGCCAGAGGACCGGATTCAGGCCTGTTGGCGCCCAACACAGGTGATCGACTAGGAACTGGGACCGCTGGGATACGTTACAGGAAATTCACGTGGCGACGGCAGCGGCGAAAAAGGCGTTCTGGGTGCTGGCACGCGCGAGGCATTCGCACCAAAGCATAGTTCATTGAATCGTTAAAGTGCTGCAGTATAGTGTTAACTAGCTAATAGATTCTACTAGTTTCTGCAGGCCGTCAAAACGGGGACCTCCTCTAACATACGGGACCTTTTTCCATGAGCACTTGCTGCGAGCATGCGTGCTCCAGGAATCTGTTTGCATTATCCTCTCGAACCTTTCAAGTGACATGGAAATGAATATGGAATAGATTCGTAGGAAATTTGGTCGGGTAAAGCTGAAAAGGACTGTTTCAGGGATTAACCGCCGAGGAGAGGGAATACATCGAGGATGGTTTCCGGTCTGGTGTAATCCTTGTGCTTGTCGCTACTAGCACACTTTCCTCTGGTACATCCTTACAGAGTCCTCATCCACTTATTATTCTTTTGTGTGAGAAGGATGATTGATTATTCTGTTCAGGTGTGAATTTACCCGCGAGTCGAGTGGTTATCAAAGCACAAACTCGCGGACCAGCCGCTATCAATGCGATTACCTACAAACAGATGAGTGGACGAGCTGGCCGATTAGGACAGGTGGAAATAGGTAACGAAGATTATCTGCAGTTCGTCCATTTTTGTGGGGTATTGAAATAGGACAGTGAGTGGACGACGATTGGTTCCTTCCCCCAGCGACTTTACCCTTCCTATTACTCCGAGAGAAAATGGTCTGGTGTCACGTTGGACTTGCAAGTCATACATACTTGTA